CAGCTACTCGATTTTTTTTTTGCCATGCATTATGCGCCATTAAAACAGGATTGAAAGCATGAAACATGAAATTAATAACTTTTTATAACTAAAATATTTGGCATATGGCCCACTTACGAATTGAAAAAATACAGACTCTCATAGCTCAACTTTTGACAGGAGAGCGATGCAAATACGAGCACCATATGTACGCGCATGCATCTCGATACCGTTTAACTAGTCTCACATTTTCAGCCAGTTTGTATGTACATATACTGTTATACAGAAATCAGTTGTTGTCAAACGTCAGTTGAATTGCTAAAAAATGTTAAACGTCACACAATTGTCGCGCTTGGCGAACTGACAACCAAAAGCATTAAATAACTTGTTGAATAAGCAAAAGCGATATAGAGACCAAGATGCCAGGGCCGCCATACCTACACTGAGCCAAAAGTACCGGCAATGGTTTTTTCAACCAGGTTATTGTTTGATTTTTTATGGTAAATACACCGATTGTAGATTTAAATTTTACATTTGAAATCACATTTGTGTGTTGGCTTCCAGAAAATTGGAGTTCGAATGCCGTCAGAGGCGATATGTAACTTTAGTTTTGTTTTTCTTAATTACAAAAAATCATTTGCGAATTGCAGAACAGTATCAAACGGCGAAAGAAGTGCTTGCTTTTATTTGCTAACTTTCAGAAGGTGCGGTTTCAAATACCGTTAGGGGGAACATGTTGAAATGATAATACAAATTTTTGATTTTGTATCTCCAGAACATAAGCGTATTCAAACGAAAACTTCATCAACCAACATTTTTTTTTATTTAAACAAAGGTGTGGTTAATATTAACAAATCATTGTTGGAAATTTCAACCTTGGAATTTTTAATATACATACTTATATTAAACAAGACTCACTTTGATTCCTTTTCAAGTTTGAATTTGGTAAAATTAACCAATTTTTGGTCGATTTTTTGTTTTCTCAGTGTATATACCAGCAAATACTCGCGCTTCGCTACGCCTTCAAAGTATTTTTGTGTTATTATTCCCTTTCACTACATACATCCGAAACTCTTAATTAATATTATTTTTAAAGTATTTACAAATAATGCCGATTTTTTTAAATTAAAAACAAATTTGAATTCAGAATTTATGGAAGTTTAATATACGGTCTTTGAATATTTTTGCCCACCGTAGATCCACGTAAATGCCTCGTAATGACGCGTTTGGATGAATGCCCATAGTACCAAAATGGCCAAAAATATATTGAATTAATACACCGCACAGTGGTATATCGGCAGAGAAAATACAATTTTCTGAATATTCTATTTTTATACTTGAATTCGTTGTAACTTTGTACGAAACTTGCAGTTTTATATTAAATTCGTCTTCTTTTTTGGCGCTGTAACCGTCTAAGCGATTTTGGCCAAGTTCAGCAAAGCACGCCAGTCGTTTCTCTTCTATGCCAACTGACGCCAAGTGAAGCCAAGTCTTTCTCCACCTGATCTTTCCATCGCAAGGGGGGGCCTACCTCTTCCTCTGCTACCACCAGCGGGTTCCGAGTTGAATACTTTCAGAGCTGGAGCGTCGGTGTCCATTCGAACGACATGACCAAGCCATGTTCGCTGCACTATGTCCATATCATTGTAAAGCTCATACAGCTCATCGTTCCGTCGCCAGCGCGTAAAGGCCCGTAAATCTTCCGCTAAATCTTGCTCTCGAATACTCCAAGAGCCGCCTCATCGAATGCTGTCATTGTCCATGCTTCTGCGCCATATACCAGTACGGGCATGATGAGCGACTTATACAGTGTGGTTTTCGTACGTCGAGAGCGAACTTTACTCCTGAATTGCCTGCTCAGTCCAAAGTAGCACTTGTTGGCAAGTGATTCTGCATTGGATTTCAATGCTGACATTATTATCGGTGTTAATGCTGGTTCCCAAGTAAACGAAATTCTCTACTTTCTCGAAATTGTAACTGTCAACAGTGACGTGGGTGCCAAGGCGCGAATGTGCTGACTGTTTGTTTGATGACAGGAGATACTTCGTCTTGTCCTCGTTTACCACCAGACCCATGCGCTTTGCTTCCCTATCCAACTTGGAAAAGGCAGAACATACTTCGCGGTTTTTGTTACCGATGATGTCGATGTCATCGGCATAAGCCAGCAATTGCACGCTCTTGTAGTAAATTGTTCCTGAGCGGTTCAGTTCTGCAGCTCTTATTATCTTCTCCAACATCAGATCAAAGAAGTGGCATGAAAGGGAGTCGCCCTGTCTGAAACCCCGTTTGGTGGCGAACGGCTCGGAGAGGTCTTTCCCAATTCTGACGGAGCTGGTGGTATTGCTCGACGCCATTTTACACAACCGTATGAGTTTTGAGGGAATGCCAAATTCAGACATAGCGGCGTATAGGCAACTCCTTTTAGTGCCGGCAAAAGCGGATTTAATGTCGACAAATAGGTGGTGAGTGTCGATCCTTTTCTCGCGGGTCTTTTCCAAGATTTGGCGAATTGTGAATACCTGGTCTATGGTGGATTTGCCAGGTCTAAAGCCACACTGATAAGGCCCAATCAGTTCATTGACGGTGGGCTTCAGTCTTTCACACAATACGCTCGATAAGACCTTGCAACCTATGCTTAGAAGGCTGATCCCGCGGTAGTTGGCGCGAATGGCGGGGTCACCTTTCTTGTGGATTGGGCAGAGCACACTTATATTCCAGTCTTCGGGCATGCGTTCATCTGACCATATTTTGACCACGAGTTGATGCATGCACCTTATCAACTCCTCGCCGCCGCAGTTGAATAGCTCAGCTGGCAGGCAGTCAGCTTCAGCAGCTTTGTTGTTTTTCAGCCGCGTTATTGATATTCGTACCTCGTCACAGTCAGGCGGTTGAACGTCGACTCCGTCATCATCGACTTGCTGAAATCCGACTACTTCTCCGGCGGCAGTACTTAATGAGCTGGAAATGTGGTTCCACTGCTCGTATATGTCGGTTTGTTAAAGAGTCCTCTCTGAGAGCAGGTGTGAGAGTCGAGTAGCGAAAGCACTGGCTGTCTGTTGTGATTGCAGCTTTTCGACGTTAAGCTTTCCTTGCATATTTGGGCGCACATTTTTTGCTGCACATAGGCGGGTGCGTATCTCGGCTGCAACAAGATAGTGGTCCGAGTCGATGTTTGGGCCTCGGAGTGTGCGTACGTCTAAAACACTGAAAGCGTGCCTTCCGTCTATCACAAAATGATCGATTTGGTTTCTCGTTTTTCGATCCTGAGAGAGCCACTTAGCTTGATAGATCTTTTTATGCTTGCGATGTCCCATGCGATGCTTTGCCTTGCTTCTTCACTGGAATTGGTTTTTACGTAGCAGGTCCCAAACCCAGTGCACAACCCATTGCTGGGACGGGGGTGGTTTGGCAACCAAATACACGTTTATATAGCGAGCCGCTTGCTCCAAGCAGACACCCGCTTGCAGCCGCACCACCTGGTGAACAGACGCTGCAGACTTCAGTAAGCCCTTAAACCGAATACGTCGGAGTGGCCCCACCGGATTGGTTACCGCATCTTACACATGGGTTGCTCACGTTGCCCAGAGTGCGCGAACGAGGACGCGAAATCCGGGATTGAGTATAGCTATGCAAATGTAACTGCATACCCAGCGCAACGACTATACCCCATTGCACTCCATTAATGCTACTTACGGAAAATTTAGTTTCTATGCCGGTTACTTCTATTTTTTTTTTTTTAATGTATGGAGCTGTACCACTGCACCGTTGAAGAGAATTCGCGATATATTGTCTCGAGTTATACGACTATAAACTGAATTTCTTAGACTTTAAATGCTTTATTAATCGAAATGTGTAGGAAAATCCCTTTCAAATATTTCACAGGAGATTTTAGAAAAAAAGATTACGAAGTAGTCACATACCATAGAATGAGTAGAAAACACTGAGGCATATTTAATTTTATTTATTTTTCAATTTTTTCTCTGCTCTTTGTGAATTTTTACAACGAACGTCAATAAAACTGTGGTAAACTAATAAGACAAACTAGTTTAATTACTTATTGTTTTAAATACATAACCTTATAAAAAATCGAAAATAATACAAAATGCATAAATGTTCTTCTTAAAGTTAAACATAAAGTGCTTGTTAACCAATTTTTGTTTATAGATTTTCTGCAAACAGGTAAATTACTTAAATTAAATTGAAAAAATAGTGAAAAATAGATAAACACATGCCGATTTTTAAACAACTTATGTACAAAATCTTGTTTACTTAATAACTGTAGAAAATTATTTATAAAAGATGTATGTGGTCTTTTTCATACTAGTTTGGTAAATAACTAAATATACTTATTACAGAAAAATATTACTTAATATTAGATACTCTAACTAACTTACAAGTGGGATACGACAAAACCACACTAACTTATTTAACAAAAATTAAAGTATAAATCTTTTGTAAACTTTAAGCTTATATGTGTGTATATAAGCCGTAACATAAAGATTTTAAACTATTTACACAGCAAGATTAAGTCAAAAACGATATTCGGAAATATGCAAGCTGGACGAAAATACTCTAAGCATCAATAAGTAGTTTTTTTTGTCAACATTAAATCAAAGTTAAGTTAATTAATCAAGTCCACTAAAACTAGTTCTACTAACTTAACACACAAAAACTATATAGGTATAACGACCTAAGCATACCTGATATCGTTTCGTACCTCTTAATCCTATAACTTTGAGTTAGCCACGTCGATAACGATGCTTAACTTGGGGATTAATGTATACCAGGCATTGAGTAACCGGCCCTTACATACTTATATGATAGCTATAATTATTGCCCCGCAGCATTTCTCTCATCACATTAGACTTTCTACCTAATATCTTAAGTACTCCTTAAGTCATGGCTTAGTATTTATTTTATTTGAGCCTTTTGTATTTCTCGTCTTTTTGATTTCCTTCAATTATTTATGCATGCTTTGGTGGTTTTTTGTTTGCTTTCTCCACACGCACACGCAGGCAATCTTACAGTTTCACTCTATGCGATAACTTCATTAATTTCTTCGAACTAATCGGACAATTAGGCCAGAGGTTAGCACAGCCCATGGGACCACTGTTGTCATCGCCTGTATAGCGTAGTAATTCACCCATATGTGCGGCGAAATGCCATTTACTCGGCGCAGCATTCATTGCCGACATGGTGGAGGATCTGAAATGAGAAGAAAAATGAGATTATGAAATTAAAGTCATATATGTATGAATTCGTGTAATACTTTGAAACATAAGTTTTTGTTATGTTATCAGGTTCGCAGGTCCCAACAATTTTCTGTTGTTTTTATATTTTGTTAACAAAATTTAAATCTGCGATTTCAAGGTGGAAACTGCGCTTTGCAAAAATAATCGATAAATTTTGTCTAAATACAGGCAAATTTCGCAAATATCAGGTCACCTAAAAAAATTCGGGTTTTAAACGTAAAGTAGATTAAAATCATAAACAGACAGCAGTGTTGATCCGGATTAACTCGGACTTAATCCAGATCAACTGCAGTTGATTCCGGAGTTGATACAGATCAACGCTGCCGTCTGTTTATACCTTCAGTTGAGGTCGTTATTCCAGAAGATGCGTACTAGGATATTGTGTGGTGATTCAAGGGTGATGCAGATATTGGACAGCAATTATTTGTGATATGTTAATGTTTTTTCTATAGTATAGGCTTGACAAACTTAGCATGGAGCGATACTCAGTTGAATAACTCGCCGCATTTGGGGCACTGAAATCCGCACGTTATTTAAGAGAAAACGACAGTTTGGCGTGGTTTTTGGGGCTGTCGGAGTCATCGGACTGTACTTCTCCGAATATGATGCCAGTAATGGTGTTATATGTCACTTTCACAATATGTGGTTTCAACAGCACGGTGCCACTCGCCACACAGCGCATTAAACCATGGCCCTATTGCGAACGAAGTTCCCAGGACGCATTATCTCACGAAACAACGAGGTCAAATGACCGGAGATATCTTACGATGTGACAGAATTGGGCATCTTTCTCTAGAGCTATGTGAAAAGTATTGTCTTTGCCAATAAGCCCAAGATCACTCCAGAGCTGAAAACGGAAATCATACGCACATAAATGTCATAGACTAAAAAAGTATGCTTACAGGCTTTAATAATAGCCCATTCCTTCTGGCTGAAGTAAACTTTAACATTCCCTCTCGAGTATCAAGACACTTTCGACCCGTGTGTTTGAAGCCATTAAAAACTAATTTTGAATCAAACGAATCATTCCGTTGTTTATGTCAAGATTTTAATGCTCATTCCAGCACGTTGGATGTATCGGACCTCGATTTTTACTTTAAAGAAAACTATAATTTTCTCTGTCCGCTTATCAATGCTAGCTGACCTTAAGAGGTCTTACATAGACGAATATAGCGTCCATAGCATTTCCAGACAGTTTAATTTAGCGAACTTTAGTAGACACTTTGGTTCTTTGTCAATTGCTGCCTGCAGCTTTCCCTTGGCTAGTAACGTCGGTCTTTGTCTGCTGAATACTGGGCACACGCACATTATATGCTCAGCATTTTCTTCGTGATATCTACACTTTTCGTCTTCTATAAAACCAACTTTAAACGCATTTGCTGATAGCAAACTATCAGAATAGTATCAGCAGTCAAAACTCTGTTCTTCTAGTTGATAGGGGGCTATCATTTCTGTTCTTCTTGTTGATGGAAGGAAATTAGCAAGTTTCTTGTCCTAGGAACTGCACATAAACTTTTCAAGTCGACAACCCTGAGCTCTTTTCCAAAAACCTAACCAATTGACGGTACATGAGCAGATATTGTAATCCTTCAATTTTCCGAAACGGAAGTGGTTTATCCTCCGCTGGTAAGGCGTCTAACAGAACACCCTCCTTGGCTAGCTCGCCAGCTCTCTCAGTACCTTCCACAGCTTTTTGTCCAGGGACCCAATATAGGTGGATAGTTTTAGCTGCTGCCAGTCTTATTATAGCCTCCTTACAGTCCGCAACAGTACTGGAATTTATTTTATATGAAAGCAGAGCCTAGCTGACCGCCTGACTAGCTATGTAAAAGTTGATCTACTCGTTTGGCGGATTAATATCGTGTGGCAACTCCGTTCGTTCATTTATGAAATACAAAGAAAAATATTTCGACATATTTTGTTGTGTCGTATTTACGAAATAAATTATTGAACATTTTGGTTTTATCTTTTTTTTGGGTTTCTTCTGAATTTTTCAGAACTCTATTTTTTACTTTGCGCTTTTCTTTAATTTTTGGAATTTTCTTTTACTTTTTTCAAGTCATTCAAAATTTATCAGGATTTTTCAGGACTGTAGGGGATATTCAGAACTACTTCGAGATTTTCGAGAGTTTTCAAAATTAGTTGAGAAATTTATTGACTTTTCAGGATAAGTTTTGATTTCAACATTTAGCTGAACGAAAAATACGGCATACTTTTAACCGTTAAAAAAACGTTTACTTTTCGAATTTTTTCAGGACTATTTAGAGTATTTCGAAACTTATAGGGAATTACGTGACTTCTTAGGATTTCTTTTGTATTCAGTGTTGAATAAAACCAAAACTACTAAGTATCTTTAGTCTAAAAGTAACTACATATACACTTTTTTAGTAGGTATTTAAAAACAAAAAATTTAAAACTTACAATTTCGCACTACAGTGGCTATAAGGTGCAAATTTTCCTCTCAAAAATGCAAACTTAAAAAAAATATTCAGTCCTTAATAAAAAAAAAAAAAAAATTAAAAATAAACGCCTCAGCACAAACTCCACTGACTGGGTGAAAGTAGACTACGCGCACGCTTTTGACAGTTAAACTTCGCCTTTAACCCTTGATTGTGACGCGACTTCCTGCTACTTGAGCAATGCAAGCTAGCAAGTTCATAAGCTGCGGTCACAGCAAATTACAATTGTGCTCATAAAAGGCATGAAATGAATAGTTGGCCGGCACTTGGCAGCGGTGGCGCAACTCATACATGCATACATACATACATACATAATTGTCATAAATTTTCCAGCTTCTGCTTTGTAATAGCACTGGCAATTGAAGCGAAGCGTAAGTTGTAAAAGACTGCGTTTTATTATGCTTATAAATATTCTCTTCTTTATTCTTCTACATACATACTTCAAGTTGCTACAATTTGTTAAGTTTTCTTCTTCCTTAAGTTTCGTTGCCACTGAGCTAATTGCGCTAAAGTCAAGTGCGAGGTTACTGCTACCAGTCAGTCAACCGGTTAGTCGCTAAGTTTATGAACATTTTTTATTTATTCATTTGTTTTTGTTTTTTTTTTTGTTGCTATGGCGCCAACTTGTAAGCAAACAATGCTAAACCACAGTTTTTACTATATACATATTTACTGCATGAGTACGTAAAATACATATGTACATATGCACGAGTGTATACATTTCAAGCATCAATGGCATCAACTGCTTAACGATTTTTTAGAATCTTACACATACATATACATATGTATGTATATACAACTTACAAACTTGCACATCATGCGTGAATAAATGTAGTCGTTGTACTAAGCTTTAGTAAGTTTGCATGCACTATGGCAAGCACTGTATTACACTTACGTACATATATGTATTTTGTATTTACTTATTTGTTAATATTGTTAAAGATTTTAATCAACTATTTGCGATAATCATTTAGAACAGTGATTCTTAACCGATGAGCTTTGTCATTGGCGAGCGAACCGGGCGGTTAATCCAAATGTTTCTCAAAAGCAATAAACACTCAAGCGGTACTTACGTTACATATCCATTTTGTCTCATAACCAATATACATACAAATGTATGTACATACATACATATATCTGCTTTTTCTTAACTCTATATTTTTTGCTTTTTTTCTGTCTATATTCCTACCTCTACGCCTGTTCGTTCTAATTACATTTATGTTATTCTGTTTTCCCTATTCTTCATTTGTATCTTTACACTCCATCGATAACAAAATCGATAGTAACATCCAACAAAATATCGATAACAAAACCGATAAAAATATCTATAACAAAACCGATGACAAAATCGACAAAAATTTCGATAGCAAAATCGATAAAAACATCGTTAAAATCATCGATAACAAAATCTATAAAAATATGGATAACAATATCGATAAATAGCCGATAACAACATCGATAAAAATATCGATAATAAAATCTACAGCAATATCGATAACGAAACTATTAATAATATCGATAAAAAGAATCAAAAACAAAATCGTTAAAAATATCGATTAGAAAATCGATAAAAATATAAATTACAAAATCGATAAAAATAGAAATTACAAAATCGATAACAAAATCAAAAATAATATGGATAACAAAATCAATTATTACATCGATAGGTTCCAAATATATCGGTAGCAAAATCAATAGCAATATCGATAAAAATTTCGATAACATACGGATAAAAATATCGATTATTATATCGATAAGTCCGGAGAATCTCAAAAATCCCAAAATAGTGCACAGATTAATTCTCTGTGTATCCATCTATATAGTTACCTTTATGTTAATCATTCCTCCTCTATCTTCATCTTTACTTTTATCGGTATCTTCATCCTCATCCTTTTCTTTATATTTGTCTTTGTTTTTACTTTTGTGTTTATACTTTTCTTCATCTACATATTCCCCTTCACTGAAGTAAAGTGTTTAAATTTACCTTAGTCTTCATTTTCACCTTTATCTTTACGCATCTTTGTTTTTGTTTTTATTTTTGCCTTTGCCTTTATCCTTTTCTTTATCTATGTACATACTCCCCTTTACTTTCATTCTTGTATTGGTCTTTTTCTAAGTGTTACTCTTTAACCTTTTATTAGCGAGTTTTTGTTAAATTCATACCATGTGCATACACTCATGAAGCACTGGTTTCAGCCCCAACCATTTCCGTTTCACCATTTCCGTTGCACCATTTCCGTGTGCAATTTCCATTGAATTTGCCAATTTACTCCCAACCAACCAACCGCCGCTAAAGAAGTTTCACTTCAAAAAACATTTTAAACATTTGAGTTGTAATATGAGCCTTTTGGGGAAACGAAAATATGTTCGTCTATAACTTTTAAAATAGTGTAGCTAGCGGGATTGAGATTTGACGAACTCCCCCATCACTAAAAGATTAGGAACCACTGATTTAAAACAATTTGCATGCAATTTAATAAAAATAAGTTACTTGCGCTCATTACCACTTCCTTTTAACAGTATTTTTACTGCTAGGCATTCAATGGCGTACTTTTGTGTTAAGTAGTTAACAATTACCGTTCATTTTCTATAAGTATATAATCACATTAAATATCGGTAGCAACGTGATCTACTTCAAGTTTGACGCTTTTAGCACAATGCTTGGAAACTAGATATTTATGTACATATGTATCTTACGTGCATACATATATGTATGTATACAAGAGTGCATCACTCTCCATACCAAAAAAATCGGTACAGTTTTTCCATCGGAATTATAAAATTTACAATAAATATTTTATGATCCGCCGCCAAAATAGTTCTGAAAAATATTAAGATTTACATGGGATGGATCGATTTGAAAATACCTGACAAAGGTGAGTTATTTATAAAAAAAAAAGCATTTAGGGGATTCCCTTGAACTCGTAAAGTCTTAAATCGTGTAAAACTCATAAGTTTACGAAGCTTTTATGGGAACGCACCCTTTGCGAAAAGGTGTAAATAGGTGCGTAAAGTGACTGTTAAGCAGATCAACCAGGATTTTGTGAAGCAATTTTTGTTTCGTAATATTTTCCATAACATTCCGCCATCTTGTCTCCAACACTCTTGGCTAAAATACAATTAAAAATGCCGAAAATTAGCAAAAAACCTAAATCAATACAGTTAGTGGATGAAATTCATTCATTTTATTCGCGTATAATTTTTTTCATATATTTTCATTATTTTATCATACATTTTAGTATAAAAATTTCGGCCCCACGGCAACACTGAAGTTTACGAGGTCGTTTGCGCATCAAATTTTGCTCGTAAGTTTACGAGGGGCTTGTAAATAGAGCTCCATACAAATTTTGACAGTTCTTTTACGAGGCTTGTAAATTTACGAGCTTTACGAGGCTTTTACGAGTTTAAGGGAAGATCCCTATTACTTTTTAAAAATATTTTTCTAGAAAAGTACTTAAAACGACAGAAGCGTTTAAGCTTAAAATATCTGCATAAAAACGTTAACAAATTTTATGAAAGGACTCAAAATAATGAGATTTTTGGAGTTATTTTCAAATCGGACTAGCTCGCGTAAATCTTAATATTTTTACGAAATATTTTTGCGGAGGTATTAAAATATAATAAATTTTATAATTCGGGTGAAAACCGAAACTTTTTTTGGTGACGCACCCTAATACATACATACATACGTATGTTAGCGAAAAGATAGCAAGCTGTCAATTTAATAGTCACACATAGATTTCTGTGTACACATGTATGTAATAGTCGGCTAGTACGTAATTTTCACCTCATTTACTTATCTGCATACCTACGTACATTCGCAATAATAAATGTTAAACTTTACACGATGCTACTTAGAACTAATGAGAAGATAGTGAATTGCTAGCGGTGTAAATTTCAGGTACTCGTATTTACTACATACATATGTATATGTATGAAATTGCAATTTATGTATGTAGGTGAAGGTAATGACTGTCATTAGTCAAGGGGAAGGTGAGCATGTTTAAAGTTTTTACTACAGTGTTTAGTAATCGTTAAGCAGCTCAATTTTCTAATAACATTGCGAAACAAATTTGAACAGAAAAAAAATTGTTTAGTAATAAACTTTTTTCTTATATGAAGATAACTCTTTCTTCAGACAAGCGTGTCAAGTACATAGGTAAATTGACATTTGTAAAATGTTCCTATATTCCTCTAATGTCTCCAATGGACCACGCATTGTAATTAAAAGTTCTCCAAATTCGGTCACACCAACTTTCTAACCAACTACCTGGGTACGTTTAGGTGCCCAGATTATACAACAACGCCGCTGGAGCTAGAGATGAAGTTCTCCTCTCGTATCCCTTCCAGAAAGGATTGGGAGGACGACTCGGTCTGCGCCTCCAAGATAACTCCACAGCCATCTAAGAGTAGGTAGAAGGGTACACTCGAAGGACCTCTCATTAGGCCTCTGCTTTAGGCTGCGAGACCACAGCAGTGTACTCCAAGCAGAACTCGCGGCCATAAAACAGGCGGCACTCCGGATCATCTAATATTTCCTTAAACTACCTTCAGTAACTATATACATACTACGATATCAAAGCAGCTATTAAATCTCTAAATTGATGTGAGACCTCGTCAATATCTACGATTGAATGTGGGAAAGTCCTTAATGGTATAGCTTCAAATGGTATAGCTTCAAAGTGGGTGCCAGACCACGGAGACATCCGAGATAACTACGCAGCGGACGAGCTTGCGAAGACACTGTCTGACATCAACTCTTCACATGCGGCGGGCATGTCGCTATCTACCTGCAAGACATGGCTCAAGCCACACTTCGTTGAGAAGGCAAATAATAGATGATCGGAAGAGCTCACGTGTGCGACGACTCGACAAATCTGGCCCAACTTCGAGAAGAAAATATCCGACGCACTCATTCGGTTAGAACGTCCTCTTCTAAGGCGGTTGACCGGTATTATTACAGACCACAGCTTAATAGGAAGGGAATGACTTCTTCTGTCACTGACGTGCCCTATCGCGGCTGATAAGACGCTCATTTCACCACCTCCTCTTTGGCTGCTTAGTCGACCTAAGTGAAACAGGCATTCAAGACTTCTCGCGCTTTCCAAACCTAAACAATTGGTTTAACTTCTAGGTGCTGGTATCACAACGCGGCATACTGGTTCTAAGTATGTCTCTCTCCTACGTTGGATGAAGGCAGCCGCTTCAATCTTAATCTAATCTAGTTAAATTTATAACTCTGGCAATTTAAAATGAGGAAGCTTTTACAACTAATTTCATCAAATTTAATCATTTTCTAGAAACTCAATTAATTAGAAGTCGAATTAATGCCCATTATAGGCCTAGCTAATTATTGCGCTTCAGTAAAAAGGAATTCTCGCTTAACTTGTACGTATACCAGTCTTAATTTGATTCTTAGTTCTATGCTAATTTCGCAAAAATTTCAAGTGAATAAAATTGGCAAATCTATCATCTTCCCCTTTTTCGGCAGCTGGTTTTGTTTTTTAATAAGGAAGTGAATTGGTAATTTGCTTTGTTTACTCTCACTGACGTGAGCATAAGACACGCTTTATTATGCTTGCGATTTTATTAGTAATCATAGCAAACTTTCAATTTATTTATCACAAACAGGTTTCGCCGAAAGTTCTGCGATTCCTTTTTTTTGCTAAGCCAAATAACAACATATTTGCACACGCGTGTTTATACATACATATATGTACATACAAATGAACAAACCAATTACAAATTTATGTTGGTAAT